GCAAAGTACACTTGGGGGCAAACGCCTAGATTCATGTTCGTGAGGCCCGCGAACACTTTGTATTGTTTTTGATAGGGACGGCGGGGGTGTCAGCACATTCCCTGCTGCGCGCAGGGCTACCATCCCTAACAATCCCGGATCATGCGAGGCCACCCTTCGATCACTGCCAAGTGGTTTTTGACAGGGACGGCGGGGGTGGTGGCGCGTGGCCTGCTCTGCGCTGGCCCACCAGACACAATGATGGGCATTGGTCTTCGACAAGGATGGTAGGGGCCGACTTGTTTCCCGATGTGTGCTGTCACGTGCGCAGGCGCACCTGGCGCACTCTTCACGTGCCCCGAACGTGGCGCACCTGGCGCGGCTGGAGTGTGCGACGCACCTGGCGCACGTGGCGCATCTGGCGCACGAAGTGTGCCTGGCACGCTCGGGCCCCAGGGGTGCCTGGCGCGCGTGGCGCCCCTGGCACGCGTGGCGCACCTCGCCCAAGCGTCGCGCACCTGGGGTCGGCTTTGGTTCCCAGTCGCTGTCCATCCGAAGACGATCGCTGAACTTGCTCAGGCTCGGGTGTTACTTATGTGTTGGGAGGGCGTGTGGGAATGAGCTAGACGGCTTGCGGGCGGGTGGGCAGCTTGACCTCTCCCCCCTCCCCCCTGCCCCTGGGTCTGGATGAGGCGCCCCGCGAGGCGCTTGAGCGTCCAATAAAATGTTCAGAGGTTTTGGACTCATCTTTGCCTCCTGGGGAGCTGGCGTTATTGACGGTCCCCCACCCTCTTTGTCGATGGCCTCCACGATGGTCCCAAGACAGCCCGAAAACATCACAAGAGAGCCCACCAGAGCCCCAAGAGGCTCCCAAGAAGTGCCATGACGGCTCTCCGCGAGTTCTCTTGAGGGCTCTCAAGAGGGCGCCCTTGAGCTCCAGAGCTCAGAGAACTTAAACTCTGGAGTTTAAGGATTTGAAGCTCTGGATTCCAGCGGAATCGGATCGGAGAGATTGAAACATTAAGCTCTGGAGTTTAACTTTGCAAGCTCTGGATTCCACGTTTGTCGAAGAAACCCTACTCCTCGCTCTCCCTTCCTCCCTCCCTCCGTGCTGCCCTGTGGCCTCCGGCGGCCCTGACCCTGACCCCCTCCTCCTCCCCCTCCACCTCCCCCTCCTCCTCCCCCCCCCTCTGCAACTCACAGCTCAGAGCCTGCCTGACTAGAGCCCACTAGCGACAGATGGCCTCTAGAGGCCGAGTGTGAGCTAATATGTACACTCAGGCTCCTATGGAGCTCCCATTTGTGTAAGTCTGCGTTGCACGGCGTATCGTGCTTCCTACTTTTTTTGTGCAGCCTAGCCATACTTAGTGGTCTCCCCGAGAGCCCGCGGAAAGCCCCAAGCACCAGAGCTTCATTCTAATGCTCCATGTGCTCCCAAGACGTGTCTACCGAAACCGTCTTGGCTCAAGCCCGTGCAGCGACAGAGTGTCGCTGGACTTCTGGTGTGCGCCCGTGAGGCGCAGGATTGCGAGCTGGCCCGCAACCGAAAAACAGCTCCCTTCCAGGACCAGCGCGCGATCAGCATCGCGCTCCCCACTGCCCGATCCCATCTACCTCAGTATCGAGATGCTCAGCACGTCATCAGAGAAGACAAGAGAGAAGTACACATCATGATTGTTACCAGGGCAGCGATTCTAGCGGGACCATTGCACCCTCCTCCTCTTCCTCCTCCTCCTTCTCCTCCTCCTCCTCCTCATCCCTCTCCTCCCCTCCCCAGGCCAGGTGGGAGTGCCCGCGCCGTCCGCGCACGGGCTGCGCGAGCTGGAGCTCCACCCGGGGCTCGTGATGGTGGGACGATTCGTGAGGGAGGAGGGCCGGGCGGAGAGGGGGGGAGGGCTGTGGAAGCGTCGCTGCAGGTTGAACTAGCAGCGGGACCAATGGATTTCTATTGTGGGCACCGTCTGCGACAGAAGTAGCAGGGAGCAAAGGGATGAGAAGGGGGATCGGGTATGGATGTCTTGAAGAATGTGGGCGACCCACTGTAATCCATTTATGGCTGAAGGGCTCATTATAAGATCACGCATGGGAAGGGGCACGGTTCAGAGCACGTGCACGTAATACAATCACGATCTAGACGTGTACGACTACGAATATGAATGCTGGGACAAAGGACAAAGCCCAGAGAGCACACCCGTTACGAATATCCATTCTCGAGCTTTCCCAGCCAATGCCGCCTTGCTCTTATGGAAGCTTTAAAGCAACACGTGCACACGGGATCGGCGTCGAAGGCTTCGCTCGTGCGGCTGCGGGGAGGGAGCGCGGCGCCAGCGGACGTCCCCTCCCCGAAATTTGCGCTTCTGCTGTCTCTGCCGGCATCTGCTAGATCAGGACCTTATGCCATGGTCTCCTCGTCCACGGCTAGCTCCACATGGCCGACTCCGGAAACCCTGAGCCCGACATGTGGACGCATCGCTTGTATTTACGCCGCCTGCCGCTGAGCTTCAGTCGGAGGACCCACCCT